TTCATTTTGTATTGTTTCCAGTTTTTCTTTTAATGTGCTGGATGCAATGAGGGCGACAGATGCGCAGTCAATAATAGGACGGACAGCATGTACATAGAATGATCTTAGTACTTTGTATCCTGCTCCTATGTGTCTCCCTGTCATGACTTTCATGACTGACAGTCTTTTTTTGGTTCGGTCGAGCAGGTATTGGATCTCCTTTTTGAAAGTGAGTGTGTCCTATCCATACACCAAGGTATAGGTATATCCTTTACCCAATCCAGATCCATAACCTGAACAGTGAGTTTCTTGTTTCTGACATTAGTTCTCAGAGTCATAGCTTTTGATTTTCCTGCCGATATCCTTAGACCCGTCCTACAACACTCTTCAAACACCAGGTTCAGACAACGCTGAGCTCTAGTTAGGCAGTGGTTGCCAGAGGCTATGATTGCCAGGTCATCAGCATAATAGATGATCTTGCATCCCTCTGGCAGGTGAATGTCGAGTATGTTGGACATGAGGGTGTTGAAAAGGGCTGGACTGAGAACCCCACCCTGAGGTGATCCATTCCCAAGTGGCATGTGCTGTCAGAGGTGGCCTTGAAATCTGACATTTGCTGATCTATTTTAAAAGTAGCTATCCAGGCCAAGAGTCTGCCTTTGACTCCTTTGGGGATTAGGGCCTCCTGAATGGCAAGGGGGCTTGCCAGTTCAAAAGCCTTCTCCAAGTCAAGGAAGACAACCACAGCAGGTGAGGTGCATATGTGCTTAGGAGTGTGGAAATGCTGTGCTTTGTGCCCTTACCCCTTGTGAACCTATGCAGGTGTTCATGAGGGGATCCCGTTTTCCACTGGAGCCTGTTGAGTACCATCTCAGCTGTTTTTCCCAGGCAGCTAAGAACAGAGATGGGACGGTACTTGCCAGGCTCCTTTGGTTTGGGGATGGGAACTATTGTGGCTTGTTTCCAGCTCTGGGCACCGTAGCAGTTTGCCAGGATTTGTTGACGATTTGCAAGAATGCAAGCTCTCTTGCCAGACCTAAGGGCGATATGATGGGGTGGGAAATCCCATCAGATTCCGGTGCTGATCCAGAACTGGTTTTGTATGACTTTCTTAGTTCTCTAAGAGAGAATAAGGCATCCATGTCATCGGGAGGCAGATTGTTGTTGCTGGTTCTAGCTGAGACCTCAAGTACCAGTCCGTGAGCCTCTGACTGTGGTTCATGATGCATGCATTTCGGGGCTTGGTGGCATGTTGCTTGCCTGACCCGTTTCCACAACTCTGTCTGGTGTCCAAAAGTCTGGCACCATTCCAACCACTTTCCCTGCCTTACTGTTGGCAGTTTCCATGGCATCCGCAAAAGCTTCCCTCAGAAGTGCAAGATTGTCGGGAGTTCTTTGCCGTCGGAAGTTTTTTTCTGCACATGTTGATTCTGTGGTTGACCTCTTTGATCTCGTTATAGTACCATGCGTCTCTGTGAGTTCTGGACCATGGACGAGTTTTGGGGATGGTTTGTGATGGTGCCTGATTTATGGCCTGGATTAGCCTTACCTCTAGCACGTCCACGTTTTCACTATTGTGGGGTTCATTGTCTCTCAGACAGCGGACTAAGCCTTTCTAGAAGGCTAACCAGTTGGCCTTGTCTGTTTTTCTTTTAGGAATGTGATGTGGTCTTTGGGCTGGACCTGCATCCATGAGGGTGGTGACTATGCCATATTAATTAGTTGTAACCGTATCATTGACACACCACCGAATTCTCTCCAGTGGCAAAGGTAAGGTCTAGGACCCCTCCCTTCACAAGCGTTGGTTCTTAGGTGTTAAGAAGAGCGATCTCAAGGAATGTGTCAAGCACCTCTGCTATATGAATGCTTGCAGCGTTCGGCCTTTTGCGGGGATTCAGCATGGATATGTGTGCATTGAAGTCTCCCCTATGATAACTCGGTCTTGTGCTGCAGTAGCACAGACCTGGTTTAAATCTAAGCTCTCACACAGTGGTTTGCTATATACATTATTTATTTTTAGAGGAACCCCAGGCAGATGTATCTCAACAGCAAGAGATTCAACGCCATCTCCACAGTGCGGCGGTTGGCTATTAAGGAGCATAGGATTGCTTCTTTTACCAGGGTCATCAGACCTCTAGCACCATCCAGGTTTGGAGTGGCGAAGACGTGATAGCC